AGCATTGTCCTGCCTGCCACTGCTTCAAGCAAGAAATGATAATAATATTCCTGGTCCAGTGAGGGGACGGTTACGCAAACCCGTTTGGATTTGAGCACTTTCAGTGGGGAAACTACACGGAAGACAGGGTGCCACTGAACGACACTTCCCCAAACAATCGTGGAATGTGGCAGCCATAGATTCCGAATATTGCCACATAAGCCTCCTTGATGGCGCTTGTTGGTCGAAGGATACCCAAACAAGGGACTAACCTTTAAGTCCTTTACGAATCTTACAGGATGCATCTTTGCGAATGCAAAACTCACACAACCGAAAGCTTGATGTTCCCACTAAAGGGACCTTCATCAGTCTTCACGCCCATATTTGCCCAGTGTGTCAAAACCGCGCCTTTGTCAAACGGCAGCCCATACAATGCAACAACCTGTACACATCCAAGAAATTAATGTAAACACGCCATGGCCGATCGCTACTTTTGCTACCTTGACATGATAGCTTGCCCAGCAACCAGTCAGGCAGCCAAATTTGGGTAACTCCAAATGCACAAACGTAAAACATGCAAGGACTGCGCCTGGAGCATCTTAAACAATGTTGTGATCTTTCCTTTTGAAGAAGGCGTGACCACCCTGCCCTCGGCTCCACGAACCCAGCAATCCGCCCACAAAAAAATGCACACCAAGTGACTCGCGCGTCGCGGCCCGCAGTCCCTCCACCTGGGTGAAACATGGGCGGGGTCTGCCTGTCAAAAACATGTGCAAGCATACGTTCCCAGAAGGACCGTTGTGCCGTGAGTGAAAATGCTGACATGGCAAAGAGCATAAAAATATCCCCCAAGAGAATATCAAGCAAAGCAAAAAAAGGGAACAGTCTTCGCGTGCTAGCGTCAAGCTGCATTGCATCGGCGAGCTTGTGAAGGCTCCAAAGATGCAGCGGGTTTCCCCTGTGATGCCGATGCCGGTGTGACCTGGAAGACATGGGGCGCTTGCCCAGGAGCTTGTTGTTGCCTGCTGGGGGGTGAGGGATGGGAGCCCCAAAGACGTGACAATGCATGGAGTTGTGGAAGCGTCTGCGAAAAATCCTGCCAGAAAGTTGTCGTTTAACAAGCGAGTAGCATAATTAGGTGTTCTTGAAGAATGGCGGACCGCAAGTCTACCAGAGCAGAATAAATCATCTGTTTCAAACATGCAGCAAGGTGGGAGCCTCCTTGATTGTCTGTGCCTACATCTTGTATCCCATGTGCTACCTTTGGACATGTTTGGCTCAGTATCAGCACCCAGGGAAGCATGTATTTCAGCCACCGTGCCAGGCAACGGGGAACGGGGATGTTTGTACTCTTCAATGATATGAGATCTTCCACAGCTGAGGCCAAGGGGGCTTTTGGCACCAGGTCGCGGGTCGATGAGCTGAATTCGCTGGGGCATGGTGCTGGACTCATTCCACTCCGGTGACTATTGAACGGCGATCTGCTGGAGAGCCGGTTCTCAGCACGCGAAGTCTTGGGATGCCAGGGGCCGCGCGCGGTAGGCCTCTTCGACTTTCAGACCTAGGCATTGGAGGCTGGGAAATAGCAGGCCGCTTGCAAAAAGGGAGGGTGGTGCCAACATGTCCCATCCACTGCGCAAAAACTAGAACCACGGGTGGCCCAAAAAAAAAAGGAAACGGATCAAAGGCCAGCAAATCAAGCCGACATGCAGGGTTGCCAGTGGAGTGGTTGCTCAAGAATTGTTGTGTGCGTGAGTGCGTGCGCGCGTGCGCGCGTGCGTGCGCGCGCGCGTGCGTGCTTGCGTGCGTGCGTGCGTGCGCGCCTGTGTTGTTTGAATGCAACACTCAGCTGTCGGATGTCTCAACTCTTGCCACAGCAAGTCAAAGCAAATAAAGTAGACATACCTGAACCCTCCAAAAGTACTGAAATTTCCGTACATGCAGAAAAAAAGTGTCAATGTACACTTTTGAGGAAATTTGACGGAAATCGCTTTTAGCAGGCTGTGAGCGTTTGTGGTGCACTTGGATGCACATGAACCCAGTTTGCAATTTACACGGCCCGTCATACTTAATTCCGTTTCAGGTCTTTCGTCTCCAATTGCTGTGGGGCAATGTGTGACAGCTTCCTTGCCGCTTTTGCGAGTTTGCACTTTTCTCAGCCAAAATGCAGAAACCGCAAATGCACGGAAATCGGCGGGAAATGCACGGAAATCGGCGGGAAAAGTACGGAAATCTGCGGAAAATGCACGGAAATCAGCGGAACATTTTCTTGAGGAAATGGGCACCTTTTGTCCTTGGTGAATTGCACACCTTCAAATGGTATGAGCATGACAATCTCCAGTGCCATGGCCGGAGCTGAAAGTGAGATTCTTGTAGAAAAAAGGTAGCAAAATGCTCCTGTGTCTTATGTTGAGCCTGCAAGAAAAGTACAGTTTTTGCTCAAATGTATGGATTTCAAGGAAATGCACGGATTTTTGCACAGAGTCGCAAAAAAAGTGCCCTTGGTTGGTCCAGGTATGTGTGTGTGTGTGTGTCACACTTGCGCGCGTGAGAGCGTGTGCGCTAGCGCGGATATCTGCAAAGCTTGCGCCTTTTGTGACTGATAAACTTCTGTGTTGCGAGCTCTGTGCACTTGCGCGCGTGCGTGCGCGTGTGCTAGCGCGGATATCTGCGAAGTTTGCCCTTCTGTGAGTGATAAACTTGGGTGTTGCGAGCTCTCTGCAAGGGTTGCTCTGCAAGTGCTTGGCCCAAGTCTTCCGCGCAACTTGCTCTGCGTGCGCAAGCGCTCTGTGCAGGATGCGACACGCAAGCACTACGCACAAGTGTGCTGCGCAAGCTCGGGTCAAGTTTCCATGAGCAAGTTCTCTGAGCAAGTTCTTAAGCCAGAGCTGCCGCGGACCAGGGGGGAATCGAACCCGCGACCGCGGGATTGCGAAAGCAGGCGCGCAAACCACCATTAGCAAGAAAATCGCACGGCGCCACGGCGAGAGCGCTTCGACACGCACGATCCCCTGCAGAGGGTTCCAACACAAAGACGAATTCGCGCGAGACCACAGCAAGAGCCCTTTGACACGCACGACCTCCGCAGAGGGTCGCGCGCAAACCGCAGAAATCGTAAAAAAGTCCTCAGTTCTTGCACATCGACCACGCCAATCCACGCAGAGGGTCGCGCGCGCACATCAGACATCGCAAAAAAATTCAAAATTTTTGCACATCGACCACGCCAATCCACGCAGAGGGTCGCGCGCCCAGATCAGAAATCCTCAGTTTTTTTGCACATCGACCACGCCAATCCACGCAGAGGGCCGCGCGTGCACCTCAGAAATCGTAGAAAAGTCCTCAGTTTTTGCGCATCGACCACGCCAATCCACGCAGAGGGTCGCGCGCGCAAATCAGAAATCCTCAGTTTTTGCACATTAACCATGCCAATCCACGCAGAGGGTCGCGCGCGCTGGAAGAAATCGTAAAAAGTCCTCAGTTTTTGCGCCTCGGCCCAGCAGAGGGTGTCATTTTCGCAGGGTGGGTTCGGTGCCACCGCACCGCCTTAAGAGACTAACTATTTACTTTCGTGCCGACATGTCTCGTGCAAGTTTGGCTGTGTGATATTTGGCTGTGTGATATCTTGTTACTTTTTTGTCAACACGTCTCGCGCAAGTTTGGTTGTGTGATATCTCGTTACTTGCGTGTTGACATGTCTTGTGATATCTCGTGCAAGTTGTTCTCGTGCAAGTGCAAGTTTGGCCGTGCGATAAGGCTGGTGCTTTTACCGGAAGAAGCCTTCGCAATGCTTTCGGGAAAAACGCACCCTGCGTGGCAAGCAAGCGTGATCGTCAATGTGTCTTGCGCTGGAGCACGTTGGCAACATAATTTGAAACACGCTAAGCCAAACTGTTTGACCAGCTTGCTGTTCAGCCAAACATCATCGGCCTGCTGGGTGTACGAAAGAAAGCCCTCGCAAGCGCATGGCGCAAGCTGGGCTTGCCAGGCGGGCTTGCTCTGCCGCCTGTGCCTCCTGCGGCGAAGCAAGCAAAACGAAGGCGCCCGTGCAGCTCTGCGCAAAGCGTGATCCACCCGCCCGTCTACGAATACAAACAGCCTTTTTATTCCAGGGTAGTGCTCTGGATTGAAGCGCTGCGCAACGCCGAAATTGCAAAGGAATCGTCCGCGTGAGTGAGTTGTCTGATGCTGCATAGGTTGGATTTCCGGGGGTTATCAATTCAAGCAATCGGGGGTGGCATGCGTCACGACTTCACTCGGAATAAAGGTTCCCTCGCAAAGAACGTTTCTTGAATGAGCTTGTTTCATCCGCAAATCCTGGACAAATTGTATGGCCATGCTGAAGGGCAGCGAAAGATGACCATGGCGAGTCCGCTAAACTGCGCACGCCATGACTTTTCATGACTCCCCTGCCTGCGCATGCTCTGCCGCCCGCTGCTCCGCGGCCAGACGCTCCAGGCCGATTCTGATGTCGAGCCAAGCAACATTGCAACTATTGAAATCCAAACCGAACCCCATGCAAGCAAAGTCCAAAATCCGTATGGGCTCATTTCCAGGCAAGCTTGCAATAAATTTGTGCAATGGAAGAATTGGAGCGCTGGAGCGTTGCAGCGAGAGCTCTGTGAATTGGCATGGCCTTCTCGAGTTTGTGGGACGCGGCCTGGTTGTCCTTTTCCCGGTCCTTTTGAGGTTATGCAATTGGCAAGGCGTGGGCAGATTGGCTGGGCATGTCGAGCTCGCTCTTTCCGCTTCAGGCATTGCTGTACCAGCCTGGGATGTACTTCGGCTTGTGCACCATTCTCGTAAAACAAAGATGTCTGGCCCAACCCGTTCGGCGGGAAATAAAAACAAGCCCCCATCCCTTATCAACTACTGCGGTGAGATAGCAGTGGCTGCGTCCATCTAGACTGTAGCAGGGTAACTCTTGCGTGTGGTTGGTCCCAGTTTCCAGAATGCATGGAGCACAGTCGTGTATGGACTGCGTCCGATTTCCAGTTTCATGGGGGCAAATTCGCATTTCGAGCATGTCACCCCTGATGTGTTTGTCCTTGGCTGGTGCCTGCGGCGGCCTGGCGGCTTGAGGGGAGGGGAGGAGAGGGGGCCGAAAGGCCATGCTCAGCAGCATGGTTGGGGTTCCCCTTTCCCTGAGGCGGTCGGTCAGAATCCATCCATTCCTCCATCCGTCCATATCCGTCCATCCATCCGAAAGTAGATGGGCCTGCAATCTAAATGGGTGAACGGCTGCTCACTCACGGCTAGGGGTTCTTCCTGGGCTGCCCGACACTTGGCCTGACACCTGCGCCTCTGCCTCCTCTGCACGCCGCGTGGCAGCCCGAGCCTCGGGAAGGCAAATGGGCGAGACAAAAGGTGACCAAACATGTCTCTGCGTTGGCCACACGTCCGCTTATGTGCACTCTCTCTCTCTCTCCCTCTTTCTCTCTCTCTCTCACACCCTCTCTCTCTCTTTTGCCCTCGTTTCTTTATTTCTTTCTTTTCTTTCTTTGTTTCTTTCTTTCTTTCTTTCATTCTTCCTTTCTTTCTTTCTTTCTTTCTTTCTTTCTTTCTTTTCTTTCTTTCTTTCTTTCTTTCTTTCTTTCTTTCTTTCTTTCTTTCTTTCTTTCTTTCTTTCTTTCTTTCTTTCTTTCTTTCTTTCTTTCTTTCTTTCTTTCTTTCTTTCTTTCTTTCTTTCTTTCTTTCTTTCTTTCTTTCTTTCTTTCTTTCTCTCTCTCTTTCTTTCTTTCTTTCTTTCTTTCTTTCTTTCTTTCTTTCTTTCTTTCTTTCTTTCTCTCTTTCTCTCTTTCTCTCTTTCTCTCTTTCTCTTTCTCTTTCTCTTTCTCTCTCTCTCTCTCTTCCAGACACACACACGAACTCGCGCGCATAACGGTTTAACGTTTCATGACGCGTATGAGCAACTTACGTGACCTCTTGTGTAGGAAAAGGAAATCAGGTAGCGGGTGTCGTTTTCCCCGCCGTTTGGGGTTGTTAGACACCTGACCGCCACAAAGCCTGTGACAGGCAGCTGAGACAGAGCCTGTGACAAATAGCTGCGACCGAGCCTCTGACCAACAGATGCGACAAAGCTTGTGGCAAGCAGCTGTGACAAAGCTCGTGGCTGCGTCCCGTCCGTGACCGGTCTGGACAGCCGAGACCGCTCGAAGCCTGAGGCTCCTGAGAGTCCTGACCCTCCAAGGGCCAGGCGTGACAAAGATTTTGCCAGTGGCCGCGCCAGGACAGCCGCGACAGTCCGAACCCGGAGCCTAGAAGCAGTCGGGCACTAAGCCAAGAATACAAAATTCACCTTGGCAGATCCAGCTCGCTTGTCGCAACTTTTCAGTACAAGTGTCAAACTGGAACTACACTGTGGCAGCCTTGGCTTGAAAGTCGCAACCTTTCAGTACAAGTGTAATTCAGGACGTACAGGTTGGCAATCCTTACATTGTTCCTGATAATGTTTGGCACGTTCTACTGCACAAGTTGGTAATTATGTCCCAGCCCTTTACATGTTTGAAGACATATTGGCTTTCCAGAGGTTTTGCTGGGCGCTTGTGGTACAGTGATACGTATGCTGCATGCTCGTAAAACCGGCGAACGCACGTACCCCACAGGGCCAGTGCAGCGAGGGCTCAAACCACAAATGACATCATCACTTACGGGCTCAACTATTGGGGGGGCAGCTTGTCCACAGTTCAGATCTGGTCACAACGGCTCGTTGTCCATCTCCATGGGAACTAGACGTTGCATAAATCCAAATCAGACTCCCTGAGATGGCATCTGATTGAGCCAGTAAAGGCCCATGTGAAGGTTCACCAGAAGCGCTGCGAAGACTTAATCACCAGAAATCACAGGACATGTGTTGCATTGTGTTGGGCTTTATGGCTCATTCAAGCTACCAGTATTGCGGCTCCTTGATCCGCAATTCCAAGAAAAAAGGCGCAGCAAAATGAAGGGCAAATCAGCTTGCGGGTTTAGCAATTTCCATCGAGAGTTTGCTATTGTTGCACTCTGCACCAGGTTGAAATAGAACCTTGACAAGATAGGTCCAGGGCTCAAGCCCTGCGTGTGGGGGCAGCCTGCGCTTTGGAAGGCAACCGCCAGCATCCCCTGCCGAAAGAAAGTCCTGTGCTAGGCCGTCCCAACAGGTGGCAACGTTGCCTGACCTTGCCGAACACAGGCTCAGCAAACGCCATGTGTTCTGAAGTGAGTCAGACTGTCAATGCGATTGCACTTGAGGGCTCTTCTACACACAAGGCAGTATTGCCAGACTGTATCAAAATGATAGATCGCTCAGAACTTGACTACGCAGGCGAGCAAATCAACACCTGTCAAAGGAAGGCCTCAAATGTATTTTCTTCAGATTCCCTTTTACCATCGAAACCTCCCCGGTCTTGACCCATTCACAACGTGAAGTTAACCACGTTCGGGCCCCAGGCATGCTCCTGGAGCTGAAACTCCCTCTTGCCTCAGGCACGCATGTGCAGTGCGCAGCCCGTGTCAGGTAGGCACTTTTACTGTCACTTTCACCCGCCAATTGCGCATTGCATTCACAGCGTCTCGAGAAGCTCCGCGGACCATCAAGTGGATGCGAGTTTGGGACCGTGGGCCGAGATGGATGATAAAGAGGGGTTCTGGAAAGCTGAAATCGTGAATTTGAGCTATCCCCACCCCTTCTCTGGAAACCACTCCCTCAAAAACAAGAAGCGTCTTAAAAGTAGCCGTGATACGCAATACTCTCCAAACACCATCTAACAAGTGGGGTCTGCTCCGAAAAGGAGGCCGAGCATTGGCGCTGGAAAGGTGTGTTGGCAGGGGATGTTTGGGTGTAGTCTTCGGGATTAGGTGTGAAGGCTGAAGGCTGAAAAGAGAACCGCAAGCCCTTCCGGAGGGCCTCCTTCCAGACTTAGAAACATCTCCTTCCATCATGACCCTGCGGCCCACTTGCAGCTGAAATCCTAGTGTCCTCCTCCCTCTAATATCAAGCACTAGGGCAAGATGCGGCTGACAATTACGGTGGGCGGCTGGCCTCCTGAACATCTTCTCTTTTGAAGTTCCAGCAAAAGGCTCAGCTCTGGCCTATCATCGAACGCGACTGAGGCAGCGGCTGCACTCCTTCTGTAGCTTTGCCTTCTGTTTCTCGAAGTCAGCCTTGAGCTTCGCCCGCAGTTCCTGCCAGTGGAAGATAGGTTTGCTCTGCAAGACTCCGTCCCCTCCGTCAACATTGCTGCGCGTCAACATTGCTGTGCGTTCTCTGTGAGAGCACCATTTATGCCATGTCCAGAACATGTCATGATTCGCTGTGTCGTATCATTTTACTTACGCCGCTGCATACTTGTACCAAGCGCAACCCATGGTTTGTCTTTGCGACGCATGGGCTTTAAGTGCTCCTTATGCAACCGTTCTGCCTGGAACGCTGCGTGAAAAATCGGCTTACGCGACGGCCTTCCCTTTGCAAGTGCAGTACGCGGAGTACACTTTGGCAGCTCCAGCTCGGAAATCGCTCCTTTTAGGCGCAATTGTAGTACAGAAAGCATGCTTTGGCAACTCCAGCTCGAAAATCGCAACTTTTGCACAAAGCACTTAAGCAAGCAAATTGGACATGAACACATGATGATTGAAGAGAAGCTTGCCTTACTACAGTATATAGAGGTTTTGCTTTCGCCACGGGTAATATGACACAGCCCTTGCTACACACTCAGCTTTTAGACATTGCACATCCAGCGGCAAGGATACTGCACTCAAACAATTTATCTTCTTGCCGTTCTGTCTTGCAAAGATCTGGACGGCTCAAAGCTAGGGATGTCTGGCGGCGTAGTGCTGGGCAGCTTGCCAAGGTGTGGCCGCACCACCAATGCATTCAATCCAAGTCATGTAATGGTTGTGGCTTTCCTAAAAAGCATTGAACCACACGACTGGGATGTTGTCTGCATCCCGTGATGTGCTCCTTGTTTTCGCGTGTAGCTAAAGCTGCAGCAGAGGATGCTTGTATCAATGCATATTGTAGACAGTATTCCAGAATTACAGAGTATCTCTCTCTATCTCTCTCTCTTTCTCCATCCTTCTCTGTTGTGGTTTGTCTCCTTTGCGACTGTGAATGGGGCAATCAGGCTGAGAGTGTGAACTTCTGTGAACCCACTGGTCTCCACTTGTCCATCTCACCTTGGCAAACATGATGAACCAGCTCACTCCGAGAATCCATCGCCCGCGGGATCCATCCCATGCCTCCATCCTCTGCTCGTAGTGTTCGGCCACCCCGTCATTCTGCTGAGCCTTCGGGGTCCGGTGCCAGTGCCCTCCCCAACTTCCCAGTGCCCTCCCTGGGCCCCGCCTCAAATGACAAGCGCAGAACAAAAGAGGCCATGCGATCAGTTGCTATGTCAAATTTGTGATAGCGCTGGGCCCTGAGACGAACTCGTTGTCACACGGTTCAATTCAAAAACCTCCGAGTGGTGATACGGCACATTCCTATGTTGGGCACATTGCTTCCTGAAGGAGGACCGTCCCCCCATTGTCGCGTATTCCAGCAGAAGTTGGGAAAAAGCTTAAGTTGGAAAAAGCTTGCCGTGGGCTCAAGGCTCCATGCCAAGATGGAGTCTTGCAATCATGCAGCATACTGCACCCGATTCTGGATCCTGTATTGTGTCAGTTTAACAATCATGAAGCGAAGTGAGATCAAGGAGCGAGAAATTCGCCAATCTCCAATCCCGTGGGAGAAATGGCCTGACAAAGATGGTGAGATTGCTCTGGAAACATTGTCCAATGCAATCATAAACGCCTTGTAAAAACCACAACTTAAGCAGGACCCCTGCATAACTTGAGGTGAAACGCCTGAGTGCCCAGCTTTCATCCTTTGCCGCTCATGATTGGCCTGGCAAGGCGCAAAACAGGTCACGCCTTGGGGATGTCGAGCGATGCAAAAAGGTGGCACCCACAGCGACCCCTACATGCGGCAAGCGGGGGCATGCTTGTTTCCCATGTCTGTTAAAGCTGGGGGTCCACCCTCTTCTGGTGATCCATGAAGGGCCCCTAACTTTGGCACACAGCCGAGTTGTCGCCGGATGTGGGCCAAAGCTTCTGGCCCCAGTGAACCTCAATGGCCAAAAGTCCAGCTGCCGCCGAGACGCATACATGAGGGAAATAGCTCAAAGGGTAGGCCATGACAATATGAAAGTATGTTTCGAAGTGACCAGTCGAGTTGTTCAGAAGCCAATTCCATCTCCCTCATTGGGGTCCCACCTCTTTGAGCATTGGAATTCTGTCATCGCTCATGCTTCCTATGCAAGTTCACGCAACTTGCAGATCAAAGCAACAAACAGTGCATGCCTGTGAAAAGCTACATTTTCAGGCTTCCTATTTGCGGCTCAAGAACTGCATCGAATCGAAACCAAGATGAATTGCAGGATGCCTGCTTGGATTCTCGTTTGTGAACAAGATCAGAATAGCGAGTAACAAAGGGGGCGCAATTCAGACGAACATGTAGCGCTCTGTTGCGGAAGCGGGCTGATAGGCCATGGGTTGGGGCCTTCATGGGCCAAATTCGGGAAAGTGGTGCAAGAATCTCCACTGCATCTAGACTGCGATGGCAGTCTCAATGAACGTGGTTCAATTCCAACGGATGTGCATTTTGTGTTGGCTCAAACTAGTGTTGATGTCATCTGTCTGTCATGTCGTTCATGCCCCATCTCCGCTGTATTCTGAGTTGTCAACCATGGCAGGAGGGCTGATACCATAGGCCCTGGTGTGAAATGTGCAGCATGACTCTACGGCTTGCTTCCTGCTATAGCCGTAAGCATACAACTCTCTCTCTATATATATACAAGTAAGTATGGTGAACATAGTATTACATAAGTCACAACATCTTAGCGCAGCTCGTTTTTGAGAGCCTCCACTCCTGGAGGCTCCAAGATGAACAAAGAAGACAACAAACAACACGTGTCGCCAACAACGAAGACACTACGACGGGTTTTCTTTCATCCACGGAACCCTAAATGCAGATCCGTCCTCCGAAAGGTCCTTGAGGCAGTCACGGTGCCTCTGCTCCGCCTGCTCTGCACGGCCTGTAGAGGAAAGCACCCCGCATCCCCCTGAGAACCTACCTACAAGGGGGAGAACCGTGTGTGTCTGTGTGCGTGTGTGCTTGTGTCTAAGATTCTAAACTACGGACCTTCCTCATAGGTTTGAAATTCGTCTGAAACAGGATGCCTACTGAAGTGTTGACGTGGGGGGATTTCTTGGGAACCCACCTTTGTGGGGGATACTGCATCCCGGAAAACCAAAGATCCTACTGGAATGTGAATACCCAGGCTTAATCAGCGAAGGGCCTTGTGAAATCTAGCTTCCTGTCACCAGAGATACTGGCGACAACAAAGAGGCTTCGCAGGTAATACACATGACGCAACACAAACGCAGCGTGGTTTTGCGCATTTGCCAGCATCGATCCTTGCGCCTCTGAACTTCGTTGCACGTTTTTGGGGGGATTTGGCGGTTGATCAAAAGGTCCGTGATACATGGGAAGACCATTGGCTGGAAACCCACAAAAACAAAAAGATGATCCGACCATGGGAAAAGTTAAGTTAAACCCATGGTTTGGGGACCAGGATTATAGATCAACCGATCAACCCAAAACCATTTTGCCAGGGCCACAGCCCGACTGGAGCTGGGCGCCAGGGCTGTGGGCGGCCTCCCCGCGTTCGCGGACACTCTGTTCGCCTCACAAAGTGCCAAAAGTCGCCGCGTGACCAAGGCGCCGTGGCTGCGTTGCGTTGGGAGGGGTGAGCCAAAAACGTTCAACTGATACCACTTGAAAGTCATGCTTGGAGAAGAATGCTGGTTGATGCTTTAGGCCGATTGCAACTTGCAGCGCGAACCAGTCCATCAAGCAGTACGGCCACACAAGCAGGGGAAGTTAACCCATGCAAGCATGTTGTCCAAAGCCACATTAATCAACAAAAACGCTGCCCAAAGTGTCGCGTGAAGGAAAGCTCCTGCACTTCAACGACAACATATTTGTAAAGCTAAGAAAGCTGATCTTCAGGCCAAAGAAGCTCCTGCCGCTTTCAACAAACCAGTTGACTGACGACAGCTCTCGCACAAGGGCGTGGCGAGCATGGGCGTCATCGAGCTGCCGCGCGATGTCAAACTTTTCGCCTCGGTCAAACTCAAGGCCACACCATGTACATGGGAACAACATGAGCATGAGGTTGTGATATTTGGTTCCAGGAACCCGCCATTCTGTGCCCCGCAAGACGGCACATCCAATGTAGCAACCAGGATAGCCCAGCATCAATTGGCCGAAACAAAACGCATTGCAGCAGCCCATTCCGAACAAACAAACAAAAAGCAAAGAAACACTCCATGCAGCTGCAGCTGAGAGGCGCTGGCATCGGATGCTCTCCTTGCGAAAGAGAATCTGTCAATGCGATGGACCAACATGGGACCTGAAGGAAGCCATCTTGGGCTGTTGTTCAAGACAGCCTCTGTCAGATTGTGGAGATTCATTGGAAAGGTGATACACACATCAACACCTTAAGTTTTACTTGCCCAAGTTGCGACCACTTCCTGTCGCTTCAGTGTTCGCTTGCAGCCAGCCCTGAAACGCTGATAGCTGTTTGACTGATTGTGCCTGAGCACAAACACTGTGGTTGGCCCAAACAAACATCTAATAACCATCTGTCACGTCTTACCAAGACCAAGTCGCACCAAGGGGGTGGTAATTAGCAGGGAAGCTCAAGCTGTAGCATTTCATTCACACTTACCGACCATCATTCCGAGTCAGGTAGGTACGTAGCTCATTTCTTGCAGTCGCACTCGTGCAGCACACAAAACAAAAACAAACAAAAAAAAGACACCTGTCCTAGAAACAACCAGTGCAGTGTAAGGCTAAGGCCCCGACGTCATCCACATCTGAAGGTGCCGGCATCTGCCAAGGCTTCGGCTCCTTTGGCTCCATCGGAGCCGCCTTCGGTCTAACCGCAGCTTCCTGCGACTTTTGGGGCTCCACCTTGAGCTCCTGGGGGAGCTCCTGGCGAAGCTCCCGGGGGAGCTCCTGCGGGAGCTCCTGCGGGAGCTTTTGCGGGAGCTCCTGGGGAAGTTCCTGGGGGAGCTCCTGGGAGAGGTTTTGGGGGAGCTCCTGGGGGAGCTCCTGGGGCGCCTTGGCTGGTATCTCGGCCCTCTGAGCCTTGAGCTGCTCTGCCCGGCGCTTGATCTGCTCCTGCAGCTGCTGCTCTGCTTTGGCTTTGGCTTTGGCCCTAAGGGCGGCCTCCTGCGCATCCGGAACGGGCGCAGCGTCCGGAGACTTGGAAGGCGCGGGCTCCTGCGCGAACTTCAGCACGGATTGACGCTGGACATTTATCCAGCATTTCACATGCGGATTTATGGCATGCCATGTCATTGCTGTGTGGCCAAGCCATCTGGCCAAACAATACCAGCTTGTCAAGGTACTGGCTAACAACAGTGATGAAGTCATCAGAACCTTAATGCGCTGCGTTCGAACAACTACTGTGTACCCTAAATCACAGTGCCTTTTCAACAAAGCTGTGGCCAAGCAAAGAACCTGAGCTTGTGTTTGCTTCCAGCAGTCCTTGTTCTCGAGGGGGCTCTCTTCATCACCTGCGCATCTGTGCTGTCAGCAGTTGCCAGTTTCAAGGAACTGCTACAAATGTCAAAAGCGCCACCACAGTCTCCAAACCATGACCATGTTTGTCCGCCAGCCTTGTCCATCGAGAGAAGCAACAGCTGCGTTAGCAGTCAACCATGTGAACTTTAACGGCCTTTCTTGAGTGCTTGTTGGCCTTAGCTCGACGCCTTGGCAACTGTGAGCAATGCTCAAAATCCACTGTGATCGGGCCAGTCCTGATGTCCACATGTGGATGTTTTGCTACTGTGTGTGCAATCCCTTTCCGAACAACAACCCAACATTCTTCATGGGACGACAACATCAAACTGCTTGTGGCAGGGGTGTTGTGCAACCTGCACTGACCCAAAGCCGTCGACAATGAATTTCAGCTGCGAAAGGCTCTTCACAACCAGCAAGAACAAACACTGCCGGTAGTGTGCAAAGGCAGATGCCTCGAACTGCGCCGGGATGGACACGTCCGGCCCGAATTCAATGTGGCTTAAGACCTACAGCTTGTTGGTTAGCACAACTCGTCAAAATGGACCATGGAGACACTGACATTCCTGTTTGGTTGCGCGCCTTGGCCACTGCGAAATATAACATCTACTGTCGATGCCGTTCGTTCTCGGCCAGCTACCAAAAGCTAAACACTGTTAATGGCCTGCATCCAGCAAATCAACCGGCTTTGCTGCAGAACAATATGCACCCACACACACACTCACACACTCGCAACCCCTTATATACCCCCTGCCCCCGCGAGCGAAGGCCGGCCTCGGCAGCTGGAAGGGCACATCCGCCGCATGAAGTCAGCGTTGGTCTGGCAAAGCGTCAGCGTTCGAGACAGGATGCTTAATTCAAGGGTCTGTGGAGGTAGGGAATTTGGAACCATGAAATATATATATATATAGTCATCACCCCCTGTAGTTGATGCTAGGGAGCGTGAAGGCAGCATGCATATGTAATACATATATATATATATGTATATGGTCACACCTTTCCATGAACTACCTCTGAGCTACCTTGCCTGGAAAATTATAAGAAAACACTGTAATTTACGGTGGTTTGTGATGTTTTTATGCTGGTTACAGCCATAACTGATCAAATGATTTTTGACGCCTCAAGTTGATGATTTTCGTCTTGGCTATGTATCTGGTTCTTGACACAAAACACTGTAAATTACGGTGTTTTCTGTAGATGGTACCTAACACACCTTGTGAAAACTGCTGCAAAACCTAGGTTTTGTGCGAATTTCACTGTTTTTTGGATTTATAGAGCTTTGGAAAGGTTTAACAACTGCAACATTCCAAAAAAAAATCTACAGCTTCACACTATGTTTCAACTGAACTCATAGAAGCCCCAAAAAACTCGAGAAAACCAACAACAAACAAATTTCTGAGACCTATATGTTTGGTTTGGGCTCATTTGTTGGTTTTTTGGTTTTCCCAATGTTTTTTTTGTGTTCCTTGGGTTTTTTTGCTTTTTGACAAAAAACCAAAAACTATGATTTTTTGCTTTTCATGTCATGGCCTTAAAAAACCAAAACAACCCAAGGGTTTTGGGTTTTCTGGATAACATACCTCGTAAAAAACCTAAAAACCTTGTGTTTTTTTGTTTTTTAAGGCCATGACATGAAAAAACAAATATCCTAGGTTTTTGGTTTTTGTCAAAAAACCAAAAACAAAATGAAACCAACAAAAACAAAAACATTGGGAAAACCAAAAAACAAAAAATGAGCCCAAACCAAACATAGTCTCAGAATTTTGTGTTTCTGGTTTTTTGGTTTTCTCGAGTTTTTTTTCCGTTTCGGTGTTTCATATAAGTTGCATTGTTATATTTCTGGTGAATTCTATTTCAGATGATTTCTTGGAAGAGCTAGGCGCATGCATAGTCAGCATATGCTTGCAGAGCATCAGTGCGGCGCACTTCTTTTCCTCAAAACTCTGCGCCTCTCTGCAAAACGTCCATGCTGGCTACATGGATGCACCTAGCTCCGCGCCTTGCTACTTCTTGTTCATCAGCTCTTAGGCCAGTCTCCTTCCATTGATCATGGTCCTTGTGCCAGTAGGTCCGCTGGGCGGCGCGGATCTTGGTTGCCAGCTTGCCACTGCCAACCTTCCGACTCGTGTACTTCCAGTAGTTCCGCAGATGGCCCCAAAACCGATCGATGGTTTGGGTTCCACTTTTCACTGTCACCTGTTTCCCGCCTGGTAACTTGTGTGAAGATCTTGATGTAGTGAGGCTTGAACCGCACCGTCTTGCCCTGCACGTTGACCTTCTTCTTCTTCTTGTGGACCACTTTGTCGTGCAAGAGCCCAGGCAGGCGGAGCTTGTGGGCCCTAGCTCCATCTGTGTGTAGAATCACGTTCCGGTTGGCCAGGTGCTTCTTGGCTACCCTTCGCCTGATGGCCCCTGGGCCTGGAGCACGCACTTTGGTAGGATTTGGCTTGAGCCTGTGTAGCATCAGCGTGTTGGGAAGTCCTCTTTCTACAATGCCTCCCCACTGCTCCCATTTGAGCTTGTTCACGTCAGGGATGAGTTCCTTGCCAAGGTCCACCTCGTCTGCTTCCACGTCTGGCCAGCTGCACTTGCTGCCGAACACGATGTTCTTCTCCTTGGTGAGGACATGTTGGGCGCGAGGAATCTCCAAGTTGGCGTAAATACGACCGATCGGCTTGTCATCCACGTTGAGGATGGGGCAGGCTGATGTGTGAGACACCAGACACTGCGCAGCAAAGCGCTGCAGCTTGCTGGTTGAGGGTTGAAGACTGGATCCAGCTCCATTGAAGAAAACTGGATGAAAGTCGTGCGGGCGTACGAATCTCGCGGGAACAACGATGGGTCCATGACTTTCGGTTCTTCTCGTAGTACAGGGATCCCAAGGTGCCGCTGCAGCAGTGAGGACCACGAAGAAATGAAGCCACCTTTGCGGAGTAACCTCAAAAGGTTAGCTCCTTTTGTCGTGAGCAACTCCTGGATGGAGATGGACCACCTGTGCCTGTTCTTGTTGAAGTGGGGCTCCTTGTTGACATGCTTGTGCCGCACGTGCGGGACATTTTTGCCACTCACCTTCTTCCCATGCTGGGGTTGCTGCTGGCGGGCACGTGCTGGCCCTCTCTTAGGAGCAGGCCACGGAGAAGAGGTCTTCGCCTTCAACTTCTTCATGGGCTTTGGCCTGGCTGGGGCACGCAGAAGCCAACAACAGCAACAAGCTACAGGCGACCTGAGAAGTTTCGTGGGTAAATCGGCATGCTGTGCTTCCAAGCATACTGCGCATCAACACTATGAGCATGGCATGCTGCACAAAACACTGACTATTGAAAGAACGAATGTCATTTGCCACTGCTTGAAAGAGTTTGTTGGCACGGACCTTGTGCCTGGCTTCGCGCACACAAGCTTTCCAAAACTATGACCTAACACACCTATAGGCATGTTGCCATTCTGCAAACTAGCAGCCCTTGCATGACTCACCCGCACCAGGCTCACTCCTCATCCACATCCATCTCATGCGAGGACTGACCCACAGATTCCTTCTCCATGTTGTCCATGATGGACGATGCTCTTGGCTTCTGCTTGGCCGGGGAGTCGGAGATCTTGACGCACTCGACGGAGGACCTGAGCCTAGAAGAGAAAGTAGCCTTGAGGGACAGCCTGGAAGTCTCCTTGGCGTCCACGCGCACGTCAAGATTTGCTGGAGCAGAAGATGTGACCACACCATCCTGGGCGAGCCGCTCATTGATGCTGAGGGCGGAGTACATCCTCTCAGGAGGATTGACTCGCGATGGCTCCGCATCCAAGAAAAGAGAGGTGTGCCGGACGACGCAGCAGACAGGAAGGTTTATGTTGCCGGCCATAGCAGCTTTCATCCACTTTGCTTCCCACTTGAGCTTGTCATCAAAGAAGCTGGTGCCTCCCTTGCGGCAAAAGTCGTAGATGTGGCAAGACTCTTCGTCGAGGAAGTCAGTCTTCTCGTTCAGGGGCTTGCGAAGAACAGGCACTTTTTCCTCGCCTGCAGGACGGATGTAGAGGAAGGTCTTCGTGTTGATGATAAGGTGGGTGCGCTTCAGGACTGCCATGACATTAGCATCATTAAATGCTTCATGGGTCACATAGGAGATCTGGCCTGCTCGTTTTGCCGTGATGGGAAGGTCATCCTTTGGCTCTTGGTTGGAGCCGAAGTCGTTGACGCAGTAAATGCGAGGTTGACCCTTTACCCACTTGGCGGCACCCCAGCGTTCCTTAGACATGGATTCTACATTGCCCACATCTGTGAAAGCCTTCAATTTCTTGAAGGGCTGCTCGCTGAGTGTGCCATCATTAAAGATATCCGGCCGGAGACGGGATCCGGATTGTCCTCTGAAAAAATCGAACTCGCAGGCCTGACGAAAGGAAGGGGTGTCCTCTTCTGACTTTCCAAGGCCATTCACCTCGTAGCGAGACAGAGCCATTGCCAAGGTCCCACAGGCGTCTTCCCTGGCTCTCCGTGGAAACCAAGAGCCTTCTCTGTCATGCTGGGAATCAAGCTGGCAAGGGAGCTCAGTATGCGACCATCAATGTCATAGAGCGTGAGCGGCCAAATCGACTTCTCAACTAGCACTGATGCCCATTTGTAAAGGGGAGAGCCAGGCGTGGAGGTTTGGATGGTGATCCGCCTCAACTGCTTGTTCTTCACATTCTCCCTGGGCCCGTTCTCCTCGATGAAGTCGAACCCATAGTTCCACTCATCCTCCGTCCTCTCCGCATCGGGCTTGCCATCCTCAGATGACCGAAGAATGTGATGCCGACACGGGAGGCCGCCCGGGTGCTCGAAAACGAAATGCAAGTATGTTTTCAACATTCTTGACGTTGTTCCGCCAGTCCACCATCTGAGGCTTGGTGTAGGTCAGAGCCAAGATGTCGCTGATCTTCGTTTTCTGCTTGAAGTTAACGATCTTGACCAGGCAGAATTTGTCATTCTACTGCTTCAAGATGGCAATGTCCAACTGGTAAGGCGAGCCATAAGGGGTTGTCCATGTTGCCAGAAAGAAGCACCTCCTTGACTTGCCCCCAAGGCACTGGCCCGGCAACGTCCATGATGATCTCCACCACACTTCATGGAACGTATGCTTGCTCGTGAAATACAGGACAAGCCTTGGCAACGTCTCCTGAACGTTCTCCAAAGACACATCACCCGAGACAAGCGCGGCCATCTGCCCAAAAGCTTGTTAGCCAAGACAAAGAGAGTGAGCACTTGATCCTGAATGCTAGCACACACCTTGCGCATGCGTAAGTGCAAGAGCAGTGCTCGCTATGTCCATGCTCAGCACATGCTGCCACTCATGTTGATTGCAACAAGGAACTTCGGATGCTGGGGCTGCTAGTCCCTCAGATGTCAGTATATGACAGAGACGTGCAGATGGAAGATTTCATTGCTTGGTGCACATTGTGATGTGTTCTCACAGAAGCAGGCTTTTTCCCCACCCGACAGGAAGGGGTTGTTAGATTTTATGTTGGAATCCGCGTTCGCGATGCTTCTACACCACGCCCCCACCCAGTATTCCGCCAGAGCAGCTCGCCAGTGGATCCCGCCGAGTATCTCGCCAGAGCTGCTCGCCAGTGAATCCCGCCGAGTATCCCGCCAGAGCGGCTCGCCAGTGGATCGCGCTGAGTATCCCGCCAGGCGGCTCGCCAGTGGATCCCGCCAAGTATCCCGCCAGAGCAGCTCGCCAGTGGATCCCGCCGAGTCCCTGCTGAGTATCCCAGAGTAGCTCGCAAGTGAATCGCGCCAAGTATCCCGCTGAGTATCCCTTGCCGGTGGATCTTGCCGAGTATCTGGCCAGTATCGAGCCGGAGCGGCTCGCCAGTATTCGCCAGTGGATCCCGAGCAGCTCGCCAGTCTGGTTTTGCTTAATGCCCCGCCCGGCGCGCAGTTGGGTTCACATTTCATCTTGGTGCCTTTGTGTTTAGAGCAACTTCGTTTAATCCCCCGTCGGGTTTCTTTTTGGAAGGGGCTTGGCTTTTGTTAACGGAACCAATGTTTGAGTTCTCGAGATCGGCTCGCAGACAAGTGGAGTTTGACACACAAACAGGTGGATAAGGCTCTCAATGCAAAACTTGTTGAGCAGTCATAGGCCCCAAGACGCTCGAAAACCATGCTTGAATTCACACAACCGTGAAGCTCGTGAGTGTGGAGGGTTGGGATTGCTCGAAGCGAAGTGTTTTTTTGCTTTGAGCAGATCTGTGTAGGTGTTTTTCAGGAAATTGCCTTATTAGGTTGCTGTTTCACGCAAAAAGTAGTTCATGGGGGGTCTGCGCATATATATATATATATGTGTATATGTATATGTGTGTATATATATATATATGTATATATATATATATATATGTATATGCGCATGTGTGTATGTATGTATGTATGTATGTATGTAAGTAAGTAAGTAAGTATGTATGTATGTATGCATGCATGCATGCATGCATGTATGCATGTATGTATGTATGTATGTGTATATATGTGTACGTATGTATGCATGTACGTACGTACGCACGTACGTATGTACGCATGTATGTATGTATGTATGTACGTACGTACGTAGGTAGGTAGCTAGGTATGTATGTATGTATGTATGTATGTATGTATGTATGTATGTATGTATGTATGTATGTATGTATATGTATGTGTACGTATGTATGCATGTACGTACGTACGCACGTACGTGTGTACGTACGTATGTATGTATGTACGTGTATATATATATATATATTATACTATATCATGGTAAATTATAGCTACGCGTATGCGTATACAGTTACATACATATATATATATATATAGTATCAATCCGCCTTTGTGGTTTTATCATTGTCATTACTATTGAAACTATGATCATGCAATATGTTCACAGGAATTACTATCGTGATTCTTAATGTTATTAGTTGTATTACGAGCATTCTAAGTGTTGTCATCAGTAGCATTATGTCTTAAAATGTAAGTATATATATTGCTATCACCATATATATATATATATATGGCAAATAGCTGGAGTCTTAACATAAATACATACTGTGTATATATATATATAGTGTACGTACTGTTATTGCTATTGTAATTGTCATTGCTATTGTCACTATTGTTACAATTACACATATGCTGAGTACAATCATCATGATTCCTCCGACACATGTATGTATACATTATACATACAACACAATATATTTGGTGTGGAAACCAGTTCCCCGTAGAAAGCTGCAAGGCAGCGCAACTCCAGAAAGCCACAAGAGCTCATGTAAATAATCATGAAAGACAAACAGCCAAGGAATAAACAATGAATAGTTGAACGGTGCATCAGAAAACTTTTCAAGTGAAGCACCATGACTTTCTTCGTAAGGGGCAAAACGCAGGAGGGCAACGGACTGTGAAGTAAATCCGCAAGGCAGTTGGTATTGTCACTGAGGTGGCCGCAGTAGGCTGTGGCTGAACTAGCTTGCAGCAACTTGAGGGTTGGGTGCTGAACGTCACGTCATGTCATCCCACATACAGACCAAAATTAGCTTGCCCGCACTTGAAATAGAAAATTGATCGATGGATTCCTCATTGGTGCTTGTCTTGATTATTGATGAAACTCCCAAAGTAATTCGCTGCGGACACTTGTCCTAATTAAGCAGCACCCGTTGAAGTCAGACAATGTTCATTGCGTAACACAACACCCGGACCTGGACCATTTATACTGCTTGATGATCGCTTGGTAAGTGCCCCTGCCCCTCAACCATGCAGAAAGCAATCAATTTACCTCCCAGCCTGATATTCACCCAAATTGAAGTTTGCTGATTTGGACTGGCAGCCGCCTGCATCACTTAAATTTTGTGATTGATGCAACAAAGCGCCCTGACTCCGGGACGGCCAGTATTCGCTCTCAGGCAATTTCCTCTTTTCTGGGTGCCTTCCACCAAGCGAAACTGAACAACATGCGTTTGGGTGGGTCAAATCCACCATGTTGGGATCTCGTTTTCTCATTTTTCTCGCAAGGCAAGGCACGGCTGCGCCTGGCACTCGCCGGCCTTCACCCAGCTCCGACACCTCACCTCCTGCCGCGGAGCCGCCGACTCCGGCTCCGCCTGCCCATCCGCATCGGACGGAAACCAATTTCCAGGTGCTGAGGTGCGCCCCCTCTAACTGCCGGATTCAAACCCAGTGGCGACATAGAAGATGCGTGAGTTCCAAAAGGGCCCACCCTGTGAAATACCTCGGATCTTGCTCGAAGCCTCCCACATGCTGAATCCTGACTGAAATCGCCAACACTGCGTTGAAACAACACTACTTCAAGCTCCCTACTGACGCCATGGCAAGCTGCCTGCCTGAGCCGCCGGTTTTGGATGGCCTGAGGGCTGACAAGTCGCCGCAGAAATGTTCGGCAGCTAACAGATGCAACCCAGCAACATCCAACTGCACTGTCGGCAAACACAAACGCCATCGAGCATAATCCCTGTTGTCCTCTGGCTGTATGTTTCAAATTCGGTCCTTGTTCCCAGTGATCATCATGCCCCTGCCCGGTTAGAACCCCACCAAGCAATACTTGCAGCTACAATTAGCGCATCCTGCTCAGTTGTAGAAATGGGGGAAGTATCAGGGTAGCTGCACTTCTGAATGCTTTGGCTAGCTCTGATTGCTTAGCTTGAAGATCAGGAAAATCACAACTACCACTGCCCACGAGCATCCCTGATCCGAAGCCAGACGTGCCAACAGTTTGGACGCTGAGAGTCCAGAGTTCAAAATGCCAACTCCAAATCAAATGCTGCTAGACAATCCAACAATCCAAATCATATTATGAGGACACATAACGCGCGCATAGCGCAGCAACATGTTTAACTGACCACCGGACGCAACATGACGCAACAGCCAGGCACGCAATAGCACGCATGCTTCTACAGCTGTTTGGTTAGGCCACTGAGCTTGTGAGCGGATGCCTTGCCTGTCTGGTGGAACAAACAAATCGTTTCATGTTGGCGTCTCTTTTCATCATTTAGAAATTGCCGAAACGTGTTCCGAAGATTTGTTCCCGACCCAAAACGGAAACATGGTAGAGAATACAGGCAAGCTGTTCTCCAGGAGAAAGTAAGTTTAAATTAGCACGAAACCAGTTCCAAACAGTACCGGGCCCGAGCCAACACGAATTTCGATCAAAATATGATTATATTCTGCTATTTAACCCCTACTCGAAAATGGCCTCAGGGCCGCAAAGGGGGAAGCCCAATTTGGATATGAACCGAAGAGGCCAGGAGGAGACTAGTTGACCGGCCCTCAGAGTCTCTTTATGTGTTTTCTCTATTGAGCCCTCAAACCGTTTGAGGGATTCCTTTACTAATCACTCTGCTGCACTACAGGATGTGTATTTTGCAATTGTGCCTCAGATGAGATGGTGTCCAAAACGGTTGTGAAGAATCAAATTGATGATAGCCTCGGCTAGGTCTAGTCACTACATACACAGTTGAATGCAGACGCTGGCATTTCTCTGTTGAGGGCAGACCTAAAAGCGCGGGAGCACACAAACAACCAAGAAAATATTGAATGAGCACGGCAAGAAGCCAAGTGGTTTGGTGCTGAGTGCGTTGCGAACACTCGTGTATCATGCCTCGGCATAACGATTTTGGAGAACGCATTGAAGAGAAGCATGAACGTTCAGAGATTCGAGGAATTACAACATTAACCAGCTGAATATGTCTTGAAAATGCAAAGCAAAGAAATGCGCTCGTGAAAACTGACAGAAGGTTCATAGGCATCCTTCTGTTTCATGGGACTGCTCACTTGGTAGATCACGCCACAAGCAGACGGCATGGGACAGTTGGTCCCGTTCCTCTGGAATCTCTCACATCCAAGACACCTTTGCTGCAGCTGGCTTCGCAACTTTCCCACATAAAGTCCGGGTTGGCCTGGCCAAAGGACTGATCAGCCGAGGCAAACCATTGTCTCAAGATGACAGAGTCAAAGCGCCAGGACGGTTTGCAGGAACCACACATCCGAAAAAGTTTGTACTGCGACCCTGGGCTGCAGCTGCAATTGACACGGCGCTGGCTCTATGCTGGGGCCATCACATTTGCTGAAACGTCTGCAAGACTGTAGCTCACAGAAGCGAGTCAGTTTTGTTTTCTTCTTCTGAAACAAGACCCTTCACATATGTGTATGTATGTATATATATATATTATACGTGTGTGATCATGTCTGTGTTAAGCATCAAAAGCTCAGTACCCACGATACCAATCAGCAGATCTCCGAATGCCCAAATATTTTACTACCTTTAGATTAATCTGGATTGCAAGATACTGACAGTACGTGCCATGTGCAGGGCAACGGCTCTTTCTGTGCTGTACTCGCGCCGAAAACCAAAACTTGGAACACAACAATAGCCCCCATTCTCACTCTGAGCCTCCCCTGCGTAGGCGCCTTGGAAGCATGCGGGTCTATACCAACCCAGCCTTCTTCTGCAGGCGAGTGTTTTGCGGAAGTAAACAAAAACCCTACGTGCATCATTCGCAAATGATGAAGACACGCCAAACGAATCTCTCGCCACCCAAACATAAGTAAAACTTGAGAAAAGCGAAGTGGGTTCCATGCGCGTCTTCGGGATTCATGCGCCGGACGCCGTGACCATCCCGGCCTCGCACTCCCCAGCATCGGCCCAGCTTGCGCAGTGCCTGGCAGCAGCCCAAACACTTTTACGCAAATTGTGTCAAGAGCCTTTGGTCTTCGTCAAACATGCCCAGTCCTTGAATCTAGTCTTAGAGAAACTGGGCATTGTACAGATCAACAAGATTCACCCAAAGCCCAAACTGACATCTCAGATCCCTGAAGTCTTCCTTCGTCAAACATGCATTCAGTTCCGTTGGGGTCCTTTGGCCAATGTCTGCACTCTTGCATGACTCTCGTCAACCTACATTCCACTAAGCCAGTGTTGCTTATGCTTCTAGAAAACACCACCCTCAAATCCTATCGTCCCAATCACATTAATTTCTGTTCTTTTTTTCCGATGATTCCCCGCTTGTTCGTCCAAGGGCTTCCCACACTTTCATGCAGCAACGATATGTGGGCTAAACTCATGCATTCTCACAAGGGAACTTGGCTTTCACGGTGATTTGCCATGATTTGGGGCCCTGTGGCATTGATTTGCCATTACTTTCGTTGTCCTACCAAGGGGTCCTACCAAGGGCTCCCACCCCTGGGGCAGCCGCTGATGCTTGTCCATGGCAGCTGCTGGCAAGAGCGCCTCACTGGACGCACACATCCTAGGGACGCACTTAAATAACTACGCAGCGCTATAATAGTGGGCAAAATCGTGGGCTGTTGGTTGAGCCCTCTGGGAGAAGTTCGTTGCTCCACATTTCAATCAAACCGTGCTAATGGCCTGAAGTCGGAAAGCATCTTCTCTGGACAGGTTTTGGCCGTTCACGGCCGTTCCGGACCTTCTCAGTCAAAGCCCTCCCGTTAGTGCTATGACAGCATGTGGTCAAATGCTTCAATCGAAAGGAGGCCTTCTTGCAATCGCCATTTGTTCAAATAATAAGAAGTTCCCCCCCGGGCCAAATGGGTGTGAGTTGGAAATGGCTAGGTTTTGTTACAGAAACTGAGCTGTTTGGTTTCGATGTCAGTGGATATCCCTGTTTGCGGTTGGCCCCTTTGGGTTCATGTGCTGGCTGATAGCAGGAAACTCACGTGGATTAATTATCGGTTCCCTCATCCACGCTCGTTTGAGGGTACCGCGCTTCACCCCAGTTATCTTGTTATCATTTTTCTTGGCAAGGCCAAGCACGGCCTATACGGCTTGCAAGCACAGGGCTTTCATGCGTCCATGATCGTCTTGGTCTGCCCACCCTTCTGTGGTCCTGTTCTTGACACTAAGGCGTTTGTAGCAAATGTGAGCTGATGTTACCTGTGCTGTTGTGAACCTTCCGAGGCTGGCGCCAGCACTGCCATACTCCAGGGACACCTAGCCGGAGCTTCTGTCGGAAGGTGTTTTTGCACGTCAACCGAAGGGAAGCCAATCACTTGGGGGTCCCGTATTCTGGAAAACACCAAAAGCTTCGAAAACCCTGACACATAAAGAAGATCAGCACAAAGAGATGGAAGCCAACTTTCTACCACTACCCTCCCTACTGTTCCGATAAGGGGGCCGGCTGCAATGGAGCCCTTTGCACTGCCATGTGCAGACAGAACGAAGGGTGATGTACCCCCACATCTTGGAGTGAGCGAAACAAGCCCGGACAACATCAATCTCGTGCAACTGCGAGAAACGTATACGTTCTAGCAACCTGGAACCGAGCACACCACAAACAATGTCCATATGGCTGTGGCTCAAAAAACCGGTACCAAAATGGAACCCTGGTAAGTGGAAACATGGACCAAAACCTGCGTAACCCCTCCTGTTTAATTTTGAGCCACACCCACATGGTTTGAGCTGCTTATCAGATCCAGCTGCAATATGTGCCAGAATCGTCAGAAATCAAACCTCCTTGTGCGGGTCATAATCATTGTCGCTGACCCTTGAAATAGCCGTCCCAAAGCTCTATCGGTATAGGATGGATACTTCTTTGCAGTAATCCCAAAGGCGACCAGCTTGTTTGACTCATTACAATGTACCAAACAATCTCCCCTTTTGCTGAATGTGAGAATTGCGCAAACACTTTCTGGGCCAAGTCTGGAGCGTCTTTCACCCAGCGCTATATTGTCTTTGCTTGATCTGCAGCCCTATGTTGTCTTTGTTCGGCATCATAATACGGAGCCACCTTGGCTTGACAACAGCTGCATTGACACTCCAATTGCACATGTGCCACATCAGCAGTGGCTCATTCTACCAAGGTCTGCTGGAACCTAAGTTTATTCAGCGCCCACCCGGACTTGATCGGAGACCCGAAGGGAACAGCCTCCGCACCACCGAGCTGCCGCCACCCATGGCGGAGGGAGCCAGAGCCCAAGCGCCGCATAAGCCGACAGGCCGTCGCGGTCTGGGAAACGAGGGAAATCGCCATATTGCCTGCTGCGTGTGTTTGGCCAGGCTTCTCTGTCTCTGCTCTGCGCTGCTCTGTCTCTCTGAATCATCCAATGCGGTGTAATACTTGCAGCAATCAAGCACTGTCCCACTGTCTTGCCGGCTGAGTTCTCAGGAATTGCTTCGAGTTCGCTATTGTGTTGCAGTATTTGGTTGCCAACTTTACGCATGCGCTTTGAACCCTTTGCGGTCAGCTGTTCAGCTGGGCAAGTATTCTACATCCTCGGCAGAAAAACGCTGGCAATCAAGTCTAGCGCGGAGCCAAGGCGAGGTCAAGGCATGCCAAACCAAAGCCGCCAATGAGCAGCAAGCCGAACTGATTCACAAACAGACCGTCATGGTCAAGACTCCCATGCTGGGGGCATGGCCAACATTGCTTCTGCAGAAACGGAAGTCTAAGATTATATTAATTATTATTGCAGGTCGAAGGCCAAATGAATTCCTGAAGCCCATCCCTTTCCAACGCTTTTGACCATGACTTCATTGACACATATCTGAAACTCCTGTCGACGCAAACAGCCTTCTGAAGCAAAATGCATAAGCTGTCCAAACAGCCTGCAGCTACACTAGCGACTGCCCAGGTTGCCAGCAAAACTGCCAAAATGAGTACCATAAACAAGGTTCGCTCAAACTGGTGTTCGAAACATGTACAAACCTTCACACTGCAATCGACTGGATACAAAACTCCATAATTGAAAGCATGAAGTCGTTCCTTCAATACTCAAACGCACCGTCTGCGCAATCCGCGATGTAAATGATGTTGTGCAGTGCAAACAAAAATAGTCAGAGTAGAATAAACCAAGCATCCAACATAGACCGCTGATTTCACCCAGCTGACAAAACGGAAATGGCAAACACACCAGCGCGAACGACCCAATCTGCTCCTCTGTTGGAAGGCCATCATCAATCAGCTGGTGAATCACCGTGTTATGCCAATTTTGAAGATGCTTCTGAGTTGCTTTTCTGTAGGCCATAGCCATAGCAAACCCCTAATCCTGCAACAACGCCTTCAGACAACAACGCCTTTATTCATTGCGCTGGCTGACGCGATGCCAGCGTAGCATGTGTGTTTTTCCTGCCTATGCCAAAGCGGACACTCCCTAGGTACAGCAAATAGATGGTCAACTTTTGAGGCAGAATTGTGAGCTTGAATAATCTGAATGTCTCCCTCAGGGGAGAGCTTGCTGCTTTGCCCCGGAAATCTGCCCCTCTCCCTACAGCCCGAGACCTCGAACTCCTCGGCTACATCCTCCACAAAGTCGTTCTGGCCGCAGAAGTCGCCACGAGAATTCGCCCCAGATATGCGTATATATATATAGTAAAAATAAAAATGCATCGCTGTGTTCAGGGCGTGTTGAATAAACCGAATGTAAGTTGACTTGCTCACGCAGCCTTTGGCTTTGATGACCAAATTTGTCATGTGTGTTCGAATTAATGTGATCAAGGTCCGCTGTAAATCGATTCTAGTCTTGAAACAAACTGGAGCCAGGTTGGTGAGCAATGCTGACCATCGTCACAAATTTCCCAATCCTCAAGGCTTCGCCTTTCGGAGATGCGGTTCCATGAGAAACTGCCGTGTCGCTCCTTAATCTCTGTGATGGGCAGCAAGCCCTTGAATTCCTTGCCGCTGGGCGTCTGCACCTCGCGCTGTTGCCAGCATGCCAGCATAGCCAACCAGCCAACCCAGCTAATCAATCAGTTCCAGGACCAGACCTGCAACAGCTGCACGCACCAGACTCTTGCCCTTGTGATAGGGTGGGTCCACTGGAACACTGACGACTGGATCCTCCGAAACTGCTGCGAACTCAGATTACAGCCTTCATGGATCGCCCGTTTGCACTTTTCATGATCTGGCCAAAAACAGCCATGGTTCCAACGTTCACAAAGGAACGCAAGGCTATGGTTTCAAAGGGAGGCTCGTTGCGCAGTATTTGCGTTGTGCTTGTTTGCAAGCCAGTGAATCAACGAACGCGCAAGGAAACAAACTGATTTGATGATCGGCTCCGAGTTCATATGGTACGTGATTGTACGTGTGTGTGTGTGCCATTTCAACACACGCGCAACATGAGTGAATAACTTGATGTATCATCATCCGGGCTCTGGTCCTCTACCGCAGACCTGCCTGCACAAAGGCGCCGAAGTCCGCGAAGTCTCGGCCAAGAAGCGGGGACGCCCGGCAGGATGCCAAACATCGAAAAAGGGCCCGAGTATATCTCATGTCACACATTCAAGCAGACAGGGGGCATCAAACAAAGATTTTACTTGCGCAAAGCGTGTTAAGTTTCAATGGCAAAGTCAGCGCACGCTTATGGGAACAACGCAAGTGCGATAATACCACCCACCAGGTTTTCCTCGGGGCCGCCTGTTCACAGCAGCTTCATGCACCTAGACAAAGTTTGGGGTATGTTTGGGGAAACCCTTTTTTTGTGCGGAGAAAGGAGGAACCCACCAAGTTTTCCTGTTCACAGCAGCTTGTAGAGTTTGACAGGTGCGACTTGCGCTGCTTATGCGCAGCCGTGTGTCTGTCAACTTGTGTAAAACAAAAGCCAGTCACCGAAAACGCAATAGCTGATTTCAGCTCATATCCACAGCTCAAGTTGCCATATGTAAATTGCACTCAAGCTGGAAGCCAAACTGACCAAGACCGGCCAAATGCAATTGCTCTTCTCTTGTGGCGCGGTCTTGGGTCCCTCGACTCGCGTCGGCCATCCGTCGGCCTGTTTGTTGGAAAGCCCTTGGCTGGGCGCGCCAGGTGGGGATCTGGAGGGGCGGCGAAAAGAAAGTAGAGGTTGAAAGGCTAGTCGGGATAGGTCAGCTCATCGCCCACCCTTGCGGTGCGAAACCAAAGCAAGCTCCGTCAAGATTGCCGCTGCGAAGGGCTTCTTTTGAAGAAGGAAAATCAGGAAATGAATCACTCCCCCCCCCAAGGCTCCCCCCCCAAAAAAAAGTTAAGGGAGCTTGAGCTCTTTCATGGATATCTGGAGATGACGACGTTTCACCTCGACGCATCTATTTGTGACTGACTTGGCCCACAGATTTGCCAGAATCCTGTTTGGCTGGAGTAATGTATTGTGAAGCCCGGCGAGTTTTGCGGGCGGGGGCGGGGGGGGGGGAAGCGAAGGGGAAGGCAGGGGGAAGGGCAGGGGGGCAAATTATAATCTTGGGGGGGGGGCCCAAATCACGCTATTTGCAGCATTTCGCCCCCCCCCCAAAATGATAAGGGCATTTTAAGCCAAGCACGACTCAAACCGTCTTAAAGTTGTTGGGGGGGGGTCCATTGTGACGCACTTACGCTGACCATTCCCAGTATGTCACAGAGTCACATTTCACCGTCTGGACTGAGTTCACAAACATGAGCCGGGAGAAACGCAGACGGCGATCAACTGACAGGGCTGGTGTTGGGTGGGCTTGGCAAGGCTCAGTTGAGCTTAAACTAGGCTTAACTAGGCTTAATTAATCTTAATTAGCAAAATGCGGTTTTAGCCAGCTAAGCCTAATTAAGCCTAATTAAGCCTAATTAGGCCTAATTAAACCTAATTAAGCCTAATTAAGCCTAATTAAGCTCAACTGTCCTTGCCACAAGGGATATCCTTAAACCACCCTTAACTTTTTTGCGGGGGGAGTCTTGGGGGGGAGTGTTTCATTTCCTGAAAAAAGATGTTGCCTGGTTGTCGCTGCCACTGGAAGCTATCCCGACTTGCCACAGCTTGTTTATGAGCATCCGGCGCCGGAGCTAGGCGCCAAAGAACCCACACAGTCCTTGCTGACCTGGGGCGCGCTAGTCACCATGGCTACATCGGAAAGCACGGACATCCTCCATCCCAGACCCCATGATCTCCATCAGTTGCCGGAGCGCGTCCTGGAGAACATCCCCTACATCATGGACCCTTCTATCCCACCAAGTGGAGGAAGGACACCTGTTCTTAAGCGGTCAGAGAGAGACAGAGAGACACAGAGAGACACAGAGAGACAGAGAGAGACAGAGAGACACAGAGACAAAGAGAGACAGAGAGAGACAGAGAGAGACAGAGAGACACAGAGACAGAGAGAGACAGAGAGACACACAGACAGAGAGAGAGACAGAGAGAGACAGAGAGACAGAGAGACAGAAACAGAGAAAGAGAGAGAGAGAGAGAGAACGAGAGACACACAGAGAGACAGAGAGAGGCTGCCTTGCGCGCCCCGCACTGGTCGAACAAGATCAGCCAGTGTTAGAGGCCCGCAGGCACTTCTCCAGCTCACCCACGGCCTCTCCCTTCGGGTGTCCTCCAGATTGCACAGGCCCGCCTTCATCGCCATCTCGCGGTTGAAGATCTCTTCGGACGCCGAGATCGCCACCATCTGCCCCTCAAGCATCTTGAAGTCAAAGAGCTGGCTGTCAGGGCTGGTCATGGTGCAAAGAGTTGGAGGGACGAGATTTCAGATTTCTTACCCTCTGGACAGTCAAACTTGAGCCAAAATCACAGTTGGTCGAGTATTGCCCACAAATCGCATGCTACCGCTGCGCTATCACATGAACTCATTACGTTGACATGTGCTTTCTCCCCCCCAAGTACCTGGAAACATTTGCCAGGATGTGGTTCGCGAACTTGTTTCCTTTACTCTAGGTCCTGAACAATGTGCTCAATTTTGACACAAGCAACTAGATTCGGAATCCATCTACTGCAATCTTCCTTCATTTACAACCCCAAAAGCTGCAACCGGGAACGTCTCCACGGGAACCGTTTTGATATGGTGTCCCACTCGTTAACAACTGAAGTGGTGCTGAAGTGGCAGCTTCCCTTTGGAGACATATCCGACATCCAAATATATTCAGCGTCTTGATTGGCCTCTTGCCATAGCTTCCACTCCCTTTGAGGCCAGTGCCGACCACCTCGCCCTCAAGGGTCCTGAGCTTTGAGCAGCAGTATGAGCAGCAGCATTATGCGCAGGAGAACACTCTGGCGAACGGCGAGAGCAACCAAGAAAGCAAGCAAGCAGCCGCCAGCCCACCAGCCCACACACTCAGCAAACAACACGCCTCACCTAGCAAGCCAATACAATGGACTCGCACACGCAGGGTCAAGCCACAACAAACAAGGCACAACCTCAACACGCCAATCTTCACGATCACCGAATGCAAAAAACAACAACAGCCCCGATCATCCTGACAACCCACCACAAGCGGCAGTGATATACCCCAGAACATCCCTGCCTTTTTGGTACAAACTTGGCGCTTTTTGGCGCGTCTCGACTTCTCTGCCAAGTGTCTGCCCAATAATCTCCTTGAACTCGCTGAGCACCGCAGCTCGATCCGCACGGCCTGCTGGGAAATGGCCGGGAAAACCATGGAGTGGATTCATTTCAGTCCGAGTTTCTACCTCTCTCCATGCCAGATCTTTGTTCAAATTGCAGCATTGAGAGCGCCAAGGCCTGGATGCCCAAAAACAAAAGACAAGGCGGCACTTCGCGAAAAGGACGCCAGGGAACCCTTGTGCCTGTGACAGTTTCGTCTGTGGCTGTCCAAAGTCCCGCAACTCAAGATTGGCTGCATGAAGCTCAGAGGTTCCGCATCAAAACTGCCACACTCCAAAGTGCACCTCCGATTAGGCTTGCTTGCGCAACTGAACAAAGATGGATCAGACCACCAGGCTACCCTCAGTCAGCAGAACCAGGGGTTATGGAGACTAAGAATGCCAGGCTGTGCTGAAGAAATCGGAGACGTCAAATCCACTGACATATATGCTGGTGCCATCATTGACTGGCAACTTGCTTTGCGCTTTGTCTTCAACAATACCTTGGCTTAATTCACGGTTCACAACATGGCAACCCTCCAGCTGCATCCCTCATCAAGGACAACGCAGGTGGCGCACAGCCAGCTGCCGCCTGCTCCATCCATCCTCAGCTGAAGCCTGGCAAGACGGCAGCTCGGCGCTTGCAACGTGCGCTTGATGCGCTTGCCGCCAAATCTGGCTACGACTTGAGATTTGGTCTTGCCACCGTCACTGCTGGCGAGAGGCATCGGTTGCAACGAAGGATGGGCAAAACGTGGTGCCAAGATGGTTCACGCCGATCTGTGGCTCTAGTCAAGTTTGGGGTCCGAGCAAGAGGCTAGGAAAAGGCTGAGAGCCACCATGGAAGGCATGCCAAGGAAGAAAGGCGTGTGATGCAGGTTGTCCACGGTCTCTCTTTTGCCAGTGTTAGCCTGGACATTGACCCTCTGCACACAAACAATATCCTGCCTTGTCAACTTGTGGAAGGTGTGTTGAGCCGCGTATTTTGCGTGGCTTTTACCTTCTCAAAAGTTGCCAAAACACCAGGTCTAACATGAAAAGGCACTGTCTGGCCGGATTTCCCCCAAATAGAAGATTCTGTTCTGAGGGCAGCATCGGCAAAGTAGTAGTCCCACATAGTCAACGGCTGGTCATTGCAATTGCAAAACAACATAATCAAATGGCATTCCTGCAGCCAGAACCGCCCCTCACTCAAAATATCGAAAACAATATGCAATGCTTCTGAATCCTGCACATTCTCACTATCTGTCAGTTGCCAGTGACGTCCACTCACCGTGGCGAAGCGCTGCCGTGCCTCCCGCGTCCCTTAGATCTGTCGACGCCAGATATTCGCACCTCGTCGACCGGTGAGTAGCGAGCCGGCACTCTCGGGATCCAGGCGAAGCCCTTTCCGCCCAATGGATCAATATTGGCGTGTTGACTTTCTTAGGGACGGGTTTTTTTGACGAGTGGCCACCCACCCAAGAAACATGACAAATGAGCATGCCAACAAATACTGTGCGTTGGTGGATCAATGCTGAAATGAGCATGTGTGCGTCATTTCGCATAGTATTACCATTTGTTTATTGTTTTGCTCCTAACCTACTATCATCAATTTCAGCTTGCATCTGTGCTCCGAGAAAGCCCAAAATGATCTGGCAGAGTGCAAAATGGAAGGCTTTGGTCCTGCATGCGAGGGCAGCCACCATTCATTCGGCCAAACATGTCAACCACTCGCTCATACAAGGCCTCCAATTGTTTAAACACCAAAACACGTCGTTGTGTTCAGTTTCAGCGCTTGCGGAGGGGACACATCCACGATCCAACACGCTCATTGAACCTCTCTGTGGTTTCTACAAGCAAGGGCTTGTGAGAGCTCGTTGAATACGTGCGAAGAGCATCCTTGATGCAGAAGCTGAATATATCTGACTCTGCCCCCCTGGACTTTGACCGCCTCTCGCCACGCCCCCCAGGCCCGCGACTCACTTCCAATATCAGATGCCAATTAAAATCAGAGCCTGCAAATATATCTTGGGCGAGCCGAGGAAAGCGGGGATCTCCAGAACTCTTGGAATCTTGATGGCAAGGCCAAACGGTGAAATCGAATTGAAACAAGATGCAGTTGTGAAAACGGGGATTGTGCCTCGACAAACCTGATTCAGACTGAAGACTTAGACATTTAAAATTTGGAGGGCCGACGTGATCAAACATCTGGGTACCCTGCGGCTCCATTCAACAAGTATTGCTCATCGATAAACCCAAAATCTGGGCAACATGTCTGGTGTGGGAGCTGGAAAGCGGTGCTCCAGAATTGGGTTTGGTTTGCTCATCGCGCCGCGAGGCACCCCCCCTGCCTGAGCCCTAAATTGCCTACGCGAACATGATGGAGTTCCCCTTTTGTATCAAGCCTTCATTCCGGGGGAAAATCGCAGATCAGGGTGCCCGGAGAGCTTGCTAGGTGTAGAAGAGCCACCCTCACACAGAAAACCAATCAGCACGCCTTCACCTTGTCGAGCACGTTGATGCCAGACTGCAAAGCCAAAGCAAGGTGTCGCAACCAACAGCCCTGCTTCTTGATGAGCCTCGAGCAAAATAAATTGAACGCCGACCACAAAACCTAAACCCATCCCCAACATAAAACATAAATAAGCACAAACACCCCATCATACCCAAAGTCAATCACCAACCGCATATCATATTGAGGATTCATCAACATGTCCTGTTTCTCGAAAGGACATTTGAAACTGAGTCCCTTACCTGTTTTCCGTGCTCATGTGTGTGTGTGTGTGTGTGGCCTTTGAGAGGCCCCTATTGCTGCCAGTTTGTTGTTGCTCCCCAAACACAATTGAGACTGTGAATGCATGTCCCATTTTGTGCGCTAATCCTAACCATTCCCCAAATAACAAGGTAGATGTTCATTCTGCCGCCCTATTGGCTGCTTGCCTACTTGGCGGTGCTTTCCCGACAACGAACAGGCTAACAACAGCTGCCTCATTTTGCTTGGCAGTTCAACGGCATCGGCCTTCATCTCAGGGTTTCCCGTGAGGAGTGCCGCTCCGGCCGCCGGCAGAGCCGCGCCTCTTCTGCCCCGGGTTTGTACACGAGGCCACTAGCGATGCCGGGCACACCGGGGACCCTGAAGGCTACGATGACGCCAAATTCCTCGCCGGGCCGGAAGCAAGCCGTTCTCAAGGCCCGCTTTGGCTTCTAGCCCAAACAGGATGGATAGGAAAACGGATTCATGTGCTGTGTTTTGCACTGTGGCATGCAAGCCTTGTCACAGTGTCTGTGCTATCCTTCAACATAATTTCCTGCAGCAGTGTCATACAATGATGACCAGCCAGTGAAAGCAACACTCGCCCTGACTGAGTGGCAAAGACTTATCAGCAAGAACTTCACAGGCTTAGGCTTAGGCAAAACAGTCAGACAAACTGGCCACTGCAAGATTTCAAAGATATCTTAGACATTTGCAGCACCCGGCGAAATGTTGTCATTGAGATGGGACCTGCAGACTGCAACATGACAAGCAAGCCTTAATGTTCACAACAAAGCAAGCTGCGGAGTGGGTTCGGGCGCATGTCGCAGCCTGCTCGGTCTCTTGGAAGCCCGGCATGTAGCGCACGGGACGGTATTGGAGAAGGGGCTATGACTGCCAGGTGTTGCAAGGGCCCAGTCTGGATCTACCCAGGAAAATATACAATGCACTGCTTGTGATGTTGACCATCTTGCGCAGTCCTTAACTCCTGTCACCATGGCATCGTACCAGACTTCCGCCGCCTCTGCCTCCTGGTGACGTTTTGTTGCTTCACTCCGGCACTGTTTGCACACTGTTTGGGCATGTCTGCCATCTTTGCAAAACACACACGCACAATTGCAGCCATGCATGGCCTTGCATCATCAAGTACTTGTAGCTTAAGCATGTCATTCCGTGCGTGTCCATCACCTGCAAAGCGCCTCAATGTTTGAATGATCCCAGTGATGGTGGCATCAACATCTGCAAAATTGAAAGCCCTTCCCCCATAAAATCGGATCAAGGCTGGTCGCCAACAATTTGCAATCTGTGGGATTGCTCGCTCCGTTCAGATGTGAGTTCAGGGGGTAGCAGCTTCCGCAAACAAAAACTGCTGGCAATGGGAGACCTGCTGGCAATCCGAAGAGCATGCTGAGCACGAGAAGGTTTTCGATCGAGATGTACTGCCCGTGCTTGGGGCCTTGCCCTTTTGCCCTGGTGGGAGCGTGCCTTCCTGACAAATCGCATCACAGAACAATCTGTCAAACAGTACGCCAAATATCAACAGAGAGAAAGACAGAGAGAGAGAGGCAGTAAGAGACAGGGAGAGATGTTGGGAATGATGCATTATTGTACGCGAGCACACATATGCTGAAATGCACACATAGATTTGGTTCAGCCCCAGATGTCATCACGCGAAACATACCAGCGAAACATCTCACACAACAATGCCAGCTTTGGGCCTGTAATTACCAGGTAGATATTTGACCCAAGTGAGGTCGCCAAACCATTCCACCTCATTATTCCAAGCCAAAAGCATTGGCCGAAAAGAGGTGTTTCTCTGATGTTCGCAAGCAGGAGCGAACGCAGAAATTCCTAGTCTCTCAAGACCGTGTCTAGATGTCTCAGCTTTTCTTGATGCAAACAGACTGCTAAAAGTTCTACACGTCTCACACAGAAAGACATGCTTCTTGGGAAATGGTTGAGCGCTTTCGCCCATGCCAGCCCTGAATTGCTTGCAACAAACCTGAAACCAGGTACATGTGTCTACATATCGAACCGAAGTCACAGAGCTCCTGCTTGTTGTACACAGCCTCGCGACGCCGAAAGTGCAAAGAAAGACTTGTCGGCTCACCAAAAGCTGCGGCCTGTTACCACGAAGGCCCTTACAAGCTCTACCAAAATCAGAGCCGCTAGAATCTATAAAGGCAAGAATACCCTTCCACACTTATGCGACATCCTCAAAATGAAAGGCCGCACCTGATGGAACTGCCTGCCCCTTGAACGAAACAAGCAAAATAACAACTGTGGTGATATTTGGCACACAGCCTGAGCTTCTTATGAAGGTACAAGTAGAAAAGGAGGACTTGTTGGCCAGAAACGACTCTAAGTACTCACACTTTATGCGAGGTGATGCCACATTGATTCTGCTCCAGGTCCCATGGTGACTGATTGTCACTTCCACCATCGTCCACCCTTTCCAGCAGGGACCATCTAGCCAAACACTCGGAGGACCCGGGTTTGGCGCACACCCAACTCTTCGATGCCGAAATGACTGCCTCTCGAGGATTGGCCAAGTGTTTGCATCTCCTAAGGCTTTTGCTTGTTTTGATGCTTGCAGACCATACGTCCCGAACATCCCAAGATGTCAACCTGCATCTGGCGTAGATTCTTTGAGGTCTGGCTTGACGTTCCTGAAGTCGCCTTCGCATAAGGGCAAGTTGTCTGTGGTAGGACTCGGACCATACACCTCTTGCCCTCATCTTTGAAGCTCCCGAACGCAGGAACACCAATTGGTTGACTTATCGGATTGCCGTGCAACTTGAACAAACAGCTCAATGATAGCCGTCAGAGTGGAAATTCGAAAACCCTTGGATCACTGACCCCCTCTATACCATGCACGTGGAAGGAGAAGACTTAAGA